CCCCTCTCCCAGGAAGGTGCTGTCATGCTCAGCCCTGGTCCAGGAAGTGAGAAAAGGGACTTGCCTGGACTAAAGAGCAGTTCACAAGGGGATTGCTGGGAGTCCTCGGTGGGCCCAGGCCATGGCTGAGAGGAGAGGAGGTGGAAGATGTGTTTGGCAGAGCCTTGCCCAGGTGGCAGGTGCATGTGGAAGACCTGTCATGGTCTTGCTGTCAGCCCCAGCCACCTGTGGCCTTGTTCTAGTCCTGACCATTCAGGAAGGGCCCAGCTGACAGGCTCATGTCCCCCCCCACCCACTTGTCTACCCATCAGCCTATCCCCTGATTGAGGGAACCACAGGCTGAAAGTGTGAGACCAGCAGCACTTAGTAAATAAAGGCAGATGCCAAGGTCCATCCCTCAGGATTCCTCAAACCACGCCCACCCCCACCCCACCCCTCATTGCTAGACTGAGCCAGAGACCTGCTCCGTCTCCCACTTCCTGGGCACAGGCTTTCTTTCTGCCTCTAGGGACTTGGCAATCCCACCTGGAAGAGATGACCAGGGAGAGAGCTCTATCCTGTCAACCACACTGAGATGCTCCCCCAAATCCCCCACCAGCCTGTTCCACTTTGGCCTCCCATCTCTTCCTGCCTCTAGCAGTCTGAGTCCAGGGCCAAGGCCAGGACCAGGCAGGGAAGGCTGGCTGGGGGATCAACAGGGGAGGGTTGTTGTGGACTCCTGCTTACATCTAGGCATCCTGTAGCACACCCATATTTAGCTGACCTTTTACTAAGGACTTCTAAGGCCCAAGGGTAGGTTGTGTGGCCATGAGCTGCTAGACAGAGAGAAGTCCCAGGCAGTGGGTATCCTGAGGCTGGTGGAGGACCTGGGCCAACTAGTCAGAGCTGGTAGCCTCACAGACCCCTGTCTTCAGCTCCTGCCCATTGGAGCCCTCTTGAAGCCCTAGAAGGTCCTTATTTGTTTTCTAGCCTGCCTGGTGTCTTCCCAATGACCCCAGGCCCCTGCACAAGCACATTGGGTGGCCCCAGGCCAGGGGTCTACGTAAAGCCCTCTAGAGTAAATAGGAGAGATTTCCTCATCTGGCATTCAACGTCCGTGGGCATTAGTCAAGGCACCATGCCTGACTGCTGTGGGTGCCAAAGGAATCAGAAAGGACCAAAGTGGGCAGTGGCTAATCATGATGCAAGGTTGGTCATGTGAGGTCCAGAGATAAGGAGCACCCCCCACCCTCCGACCAAGTGGAGGGTCAGAGAAAGCTTCCTGGAAGAAGGCATTTGCGTGTTTGAGCTTCATGAGCAGTTAGGATTAGGACAAGGGCAGGTAGAGAAGGATGGACAGGTGCTCTAAGCAGAGAGGAAGGGTGCTGAGGAGAAGAAGGGGTGTCCCAGAACCCCAGGTTAATCATTTTGGCTGGAATGGAAGGAATGCAGAGGATGTTATGGTTTGTGGTCCAGAGCTGGGATGCCAGCCTCGGGGACTTTGTATTCTGAAGGCAACATGGAACTAGCAAAGGCTGTAAGGCCCCATTCACACTACAGTCTGTGGGGATCGCCATACACTGTTCTCGAGGGGTGTCATTAGCATAGACTCCAATGACAACAGGGCCCCTGGAGTTGTGCGGTGCAGTGGCCTCACTGCAGAGTGATATGGGCAGGGCTTCCCTGAGCACTAGCCATTAGGTTGCAAGATGGAATGCCAGCTAGGTAGGTGGCAGCGTGAGTCATTTCAAGACCAGCCCCCTGACTGGTGTTCTGCCCATCATGCAATCAACAGAGGTGTTCATATCCCATTTTCTTAACTAATACAAATAGCATCCTCACCTAAATAATGGCAACCACCCCCCAGCACGATCAATCACACCTCCACCATCACCCACAGTTCCAACCAGAGCCCATGACTGTAAAACCCAAGACCTGGCACCATCACCAAGACCATCCTCATCCTTGCCATACATATTGTCACCATCAATAAGAACATCAACCAAGTCCTGCCATTCTCTCCATCAAGAGCCATCGCAACAGAGCAGGGGCACGGGGTTGGCACGCTCTCCTTGATGCCGACCAGATTGAGGGAAGATGTGGGCTGATGGGGGTCTGTAGCCAGGCTGTGTTTTCCCTCTGGCCATACACTTCCCATGCAGCTGTGAGCATTTGAGTAAGTGTTGTTTGCTTTGGTTTTGCTTTGATATTTAAAGTGGATTATGATCGAGTCAGGAAGCGGCTGTCGAATCCTAGACCAGGCTGCAGTGATCTCATGGGCACTCTCTTTGGGACCGTAGCCAGGGCCAAGTAAGTTCCCTACTCTCCTTGGAGTTTTTGGGGGCCTGTGGAACTTCAGGCCAGAGCTGACCTGGACAAGAACCCAAGATCCTCAGGATTCCCTCAGTGCCATTCCTACTTCCCCTAGGCCCTGGCTGCTTTGTGTCTGTCAACAGTGGCCCTAAATAGGATGCTAGATCATGAATTTTCCTAGGGCTCACATCCCCCCCCCCCCGGCCCAACTCAGAATTCAGTGTTCATTTGGAGCTATGCCTGGGGAGAGCACCAAGTAAGCTGATCTGACAGAGAATTGGAGCAAAAGAGACAGGCAAAGCCGACTTTCTATTTGTCCTGCAGAGTATTTATTGTCTCTAGCCCAGATATTTTCATCACTCTTGTCTTGAGTGGTGTCCTCAGTTCCCAGAAGCCCACTAGAAGCATGCAACAGGGTCAGGGAGAACCAATAAAGGAGACCAGGTGTCCTGTGTCAGCCGGAGCCTTCCCAGGCAATGGCTTCCGGAAATCAGCTTCTTTCATGGAGGGTGGGTGAGTGGTCTCATGGCATTGCCGCAGGCCTGAAAGCTGGGCTTCCTGAGGCTTTCTGTCAGAACCACCGAGCTGTGAAAGGGCTGGACAGGACATGGCCAATGCTCTGTCTACCCTGAATGCTTCCCACACAGTCAATGGAGAAGAATGGCACTCCCTTTCATGGGACAGTCAACCTAAAGCCTCGCCGTGCCTCTGGTTCTCTTCCCCAACCCTTTCACACTGTTTCATGCCCTTCTCTGCCCGCGTGCCTCGCTGGATGGAAGAGAGAACTTCGGCAATGCTTTGGTAAACCGCTCATGGCCCACTTGCATGGCTACCTGGGACAGACCTCCGCAGCACCTTGCTACTCAAAGTGTGGTCTGCAGACCAGCAGCAGCAGCAGCAGCATCACCTGGGAACTTGTTAGACATGTAGACTCACAGCCTGCCCCAGACCTACTGAACTAGAAGCTGCATTTTAACAAGATTCCCAGGCGATTCATCTTCATACTGAAGACTGAATAGCCTTGTAGTGATTAGGGCTCACACCCTTCTCTGCCCCTTGGCAGCTGTGTGATGTTCAGCAGAGATTCAATCTCTCTAGACCTCAGGTTCTTCATCGGTAAAATGAGGATCATGATACCAAACGCTCAGGGAGGTTGAAAGGATCAAATGGAGTGATGCTTGTACAGTTGTTTGGCACAAGGCCTGGCATACAGTAAACACTCACAGAGGGAAGATTAGTATTTGAATTCTTTTCAAATAAGAGCGTGTTTTGTTGGGGAAAGCTTCTACTTGACTAGTCACAAGAAGAAATGTCTTTCTTCCTCCATCCGGGGCCACTTGAAGTACCCAGTAAGGCTTCAAATCCAAAGGCACCTCACTCAGATCCTTCTGTCACTGCCAATAAGTTCCAGGAGGTTGAGCGATTGATTTCTCTCAGTCTCCATTCTCTCGTCTATTAAGCAGAGTCAATAATCAGAGGGTTGTTGTGAGGAATTAAAGACATATACCTGGCACGTAGTATGAGTTCAATAAATGAATTACAGAGGACGGGCAAGGTCATTTCCACTCGCAGGCGCTGCATATCCTGCCGCTGTTGTAGCAAGTACAAATCTTAGTCCAAAGACCCCAATGAGCAAAGAATGTGCATTTCTTTGCTTGCCTATAATTTAAATTTTAGTCTCTGCCTTGCTTTGCAGATGGCAGAAATCTAATCCCATCACCCCAGGCTCTGATGCTCTTTTTTGCCTGGAGTATTTCTGGGGATGAAGCATTTACAGGATGTCAAGGGGTGGGGGTGGGGGTGGGGTTTGGGCACGTGGGCATTTGGTCCTTGGTCGTGGTCTGCCTGTGCTGCCATCTGCTGGGATATTCCCAACCCGTGAGGATACGCTGGTCTACACTGGAAGAGCTGTGACCTCTCTTGTTCCCAGTTACAAGGCTTCTAGGATGTGCAGGTACTCAGTACCATGTCCATGTCACCCTGGGGTATGGGAAGCCCTTGATGATGGCCTGGGGATCTTTGGCCTGTCTTGGGTCGGCCTGCCCCTTCATCATGGGCATGAGGGCCCCTGGGGTCCTGCTACTTCCCCAGGATTTATCCAGAACAGGGGCACAGCTACCTCTATTCTTGAATCCTTCGTTCCACATTGCCTCCTTTCTGGTTCAGATGACCTTGATCTTCCTGGCAGGTAGCTTTCATCCCTCTTCCAAATGCTTTCAGTGCCCTGGGTCCTCCACAGCCTAGGCCCTTGATGTGCAAATATCTTACCTCTGTTTTGTGCCTTGTATCATTCCTTCTCAGATGCAATGCATACTTCTAACTAAATGGGGAAGGGCAAAAGAAAAAGCAAAACAGGATGGGGGAGGAAATTTGGTTGATACTTCAATCTACTTTTCCACCACACTGTGTTTTTATAATATACACAGAGAAAGCAAAATTAGGAAGTCCACAAAAATGGTGGTGTGTGTGGAAACTCACCAGACTTGAGAATATTTTTGATGTTCTTGTGGCCCTCCAAGTGCTCTGAGCCCTTCCCTCTTGGGGTCCTGGGAGGCTCTTTCCCTGAGGCTGGAAACACGCCTACCGGAAGATCATGCTCATTTTACAGAATGGATGGTGATTTCCACCCAGCCTGCCTCTGCTGCAGCCACCATCCCCATACAGAGGATCCCCTTGACCTGTTGTCTTTTTCGGTCCCGCCTCATCAGCACCCCTATTGAGCATGCTCCAGTGTGCACCAGCCAGGCCACCACCCCGCTGCTGCCCGCTTCTGCCCAGCTGCCTGCTGCTGCCCCTCCCAGTGCGGCCTCACCACCCTTGACCGCAGCCACTGCCCATGCTGCCACCGCCTCTGCTGTAGCCCCTGCCTCAAGCCCTGCGGACAGTCCAAGGTAACGGGCCCACAGGTGCCGACCCTGACCTCAGGGAAGGGAGGCAGGAAAGTCCTCAACCTGGGCCCACCTGTTGGCAACTGTATCCAGCCCTCAGAAAAGTCCGTGCAAGGTGGTTAGGACCCCGGGGTCCTTGGAAAGCCAAACCTAGCACTGCCTGGTGCTGAGAGTGAAGGGGAGACTGGGAGTCACCGCAGGGGAGCACACTATGTGCAGTGCAGCACAGAGACTGGAATGCGCTGCCTGGCCCCCTAGTGCCTCTCTCTGTCTCTCTGTCTCTCTGTCTGTCTGTCTGTCTCTCTCTCTCTCTCTCTCTCACACACACACACACACACACACACACGCATGCACGCGTGCAATTAGATAACAAAGAGAGACTTTGTGCACAGTCATTGTTCCTGGAACTAGAATAAGGGGGAGAATGAAAATTGTCCTTGTGGTCCGGGGAAGTCAAGACAGGCTCTCTGGAGGAGGGAGCAGATGTAGCATTGACCTTGGTAGGTAAGGTAGATCAGATTTGGGCAGATATTTAGCACTAACTTGCCCTCTTCCTTTACCCTCTCTTCTCTTGATGGAGAGCAGGCTAACTCCAGAGGCACCCGATGTCATGGGATGTAACTCTCTGCTCCACCGCTTACTGTCTGTAATCTACAGAAAGTGACTTAATTTCTCTGAAGCTAGGTTTCTCATCTGCTAAGATATTTAATGCAACATCTATTTTTTTAGGGTTGGGACAGAAAAAGTGTACATAAATCACCTAGCATATAGAATTCTCTCGAGTATTATGAGTTACTGCATTTCAACCTGACCTCCTGGATACCCAGCAAAGGCAGGGCTGGGGATGGCGGGAGTGGGTGGGTGGGGGTTGCAGTTTGCAAAGGATGCAGGGAGGTGTGGGGAGGTGCAGGGGGCAGGCTGGATGAGTCATTCTGGAATGGCTAGGAAGTGTAATAGCTGGACGGGCCCAGCTCTTTCTGGGCTTCATGGAGCTGTCAAGTTGGTGTTTGAGGTAACAGCCAGCTTTCTCAGTTTCCCATGCTCCCCTCCCAGGGTTTTGCTGGAAAGGACATGCTTCTCTGGATCAGGGTTCATAAGTCCCTGGCACAGCCTGAGACAGGATAAAGGGTGGGCACAGTGGCCTGCAGACCTGTGTGCTGCACCTTTACCCCCAGGCTTCACAAGGACCTAGGTGGTGCCAAGCCCAGCCTTTGCCCAGCCCAGCTCAAGCCTCAAGGGTAAGCCCAGTCTGGGCCTCCGGGGGTTGTTTTATTCCAGCTTCCTGGGGTCACTTAGCAAGTTGCTCCCCCTCTACACATCAGGACCTCTTCAGCTAAGGGCACCAAGAAGAAACTTTGAAGAGGGTAAGAAACGTCCCTGTTGTTAAGTGGGAAGATGCCTCCCCAGTTGGATGGAGAAGCTCTAGATGCTGGGGCCCTGCTTAAGGACAAGCTCCAGCACTATGCTTCAGGCCTCAGTGTCCTCAGTGGCCTGGGGCCCTCAGGACTCCCTCAACAGGGCAAACCCTTCTTCCTCGGCCTTGCAAAGGGAGATGAGGCCTGGGTGGAGGTTGGAGAGATACCTGGAGGGCTCCCAGCATCAGGCTGGAGCAGAAGGAACCCAGGGACCACACCAGCTACCTCCCTATCTTACACAAGGCTGGGATGGAGCTAGAGGAAGCCAGTGGGGGGCAAATGGACACCTTAGCCTTTCTTGGCATGGCCTCAGAGTCCTTGCTAGATGTCATAAGCCTCTGATTCCTCCCCTAACACCAACCCTGGACACAGGACCTGTAGCTCCTGGGCTGCTGGGAAATCTTCTTCCACTGGTGGGAGAGTCTGGCTAAGCCCCACTGACCCTCAGCCCTCTCCCACCGCAGTGGAAGCTGGGCACCCCTTCGACACTGCCTCTTTCTCCTCCATTGAGGCCCCTGCTCCACTGTGGTTTATCAGAGAAGCAGACAGGCCCAGGGAGGGGAGACAATGGCTTCACCCAACCAGAAACATGATAACTTGGCCCGGTAAGTCTGCACACCCCCTAGGTCTGGGATACTGGCTGTCTGAGGCTCATTCTACCTCCATACTGTCTGAGCAGCACTACACACCCTTCTGAATCCACTAAGGAGCTTGGCAGTGGGTCCTTAGCTCCGGGCCACCCCCTCCCAGAGCTCCGGAGAAGAAATTACTTCCTTATCCTATGACTCTTCCCAGCACTTGGGCCCGTGGGGAACAGTTGGAAAGAAGGCAGGAAGCCTTGGACTGGGAGAGGATGGTATATTATCAGAGGCTCACTTCTCTAGCATCCCCATCAATGACCCATTTGCCCTGGGTGTGGACATGTGGTCCCCAACGGGATCTGAACGATGCAGGGAGAAGCCAAAGGTGTATTCAATAAGGTGTTCTTTAGCTTTAAATGAAAAAAGGTGGGGAGTTGTTCACTGACAACGAAATTGGGAAACACTGAATAAGACAAAGTCAAACATGCCCCTTAACTCCAGTTCCTGGAGCCTTTAGTTCTCCAAGGGAAAAGGCCAAGTACGGCATTTCCTGAGGGCAACGAACTGGGACACTTTCACTCTATCACTTTGGTCCCATGGTCCCTGGGTCACAAGTGGGAAAAGACTTTAAGACCAAGAGGCAGCTTACTCAGTGGGGAGAGGGCAACAGGAATGCTGTGCAAAGGAGAAGCCTGTGTGTGTGTGTGTGTGTGTGTGTGTGTGTGTGTGTGTGTGTGTGTACATACTGGGGGGCTGGTCTCCTGGCTTCCCATGAGACCTCTCTGGAGCACTCTTACCCAGAAACCTGAGATTTGGCGGCTCCTTCCAGCACCAGCAGAAAGGGGAATGAAGAGGCCAGTGGTCTGAGGCTGTGAAGTGCCCCAGGAGGTCAGAAGGTTGAGGGAGAAGGGTAGTTCTGACCTCCTCCATCTGTCTCCTCTCTCCTGCGTCTGCCCCTCCAACCCCAGCCTCACCCTGGTAGTCTCTCTACAGGAAGTGAAGGGTTTCCTGTCTGTCTTCCTGTCTGGCTGGTGGTTTTCCTCCCTCTTTCCTAAGGTGGTGACACCAGCAATGGGCCATATGGCTCTAACCAGCCTCACGAAGACTCAGCCCCCAAGGAGCAGCTTCCTCCCCTCTAAGACCCCCACAGTCTTTCCTTCACAGCCTCTGGCAAATCCCCAGCATTTCTGTCAGGTTTCCTCCTCACAGAGGCTCCTGAAGACCAGGCTGCCATGGTTGCAGGCCCCAGGGCCTGGGTGGGGCTGTCCTTCTAGCTGCTAACTCCTCCCCCCTTGGTTCCAGGCCCCAGGCCTCTGCCTACAGTCCCGCCAAGGCGACCTCTCCGGCACCTGCCACTCATACATACAGTGAGGCCCCAGCTGCCCCTGCGCCCAAGCCCCGAGTTGTCACCACCGCCAGCATCCGGCCTTCTGTCTACCAGCCAGGTGAGAGGCAGATTGGAGGGGAAGCTGTTAGGCTGGACGTGGCTTCTAGGCCACATCCCAAGAAGGATGGTGGCCAGCGAGGTCCTGCTAATGAGGCTCAGCCCTTCTTCCCCCAAATGTGGGCCAGCATCCTATGGAGCCTACCTCTGGCCCTGGGGAGACAGGTGAGCAGTACCAGCCAGGGGTGGAGCCTCCCGGCTCTTAGGCAGATAAGGTTCCTGGCTGGGGATTTCCAGGCTCAAGGTAAAGGATGAGAGGGTTTAGAGGGAAGGAGTTTGTTTCCCCAAGAGTCTGGGTCTAGCTCAAGCTGGAAGACAGGCAGCTATAACGAAAATGCCATGGGCTTTGGCCAGTGACCCCGGGCAGGCTGTTCATTCTGTCTGGTCTTTGGGTTCCTCAGCTGAGGCAGGACAATGGAGGCTCAGAGAGCACACATAATAAGCAACAAAATGGTCTCCTGGTGGCTGAGCTCCCTTGACTGTCTGTTCCATTGCTCTGGTCCCCATTCTCATCACTGCCCAGGGCCGCTTCACAGGGATGAGGACTCAGTCCCACTTCCCTCTTTCCTCAGCAAAGTTTGGCCTGCTCCCCAGAGCCCGAGGGCAATTCTCAGTCTGGCTTGCACCTCAGTTTCCCCTGCCTGCCCCTGCTGAGTGAACCTGAGGGCTCCTTAGCTAATTTCCCAGGTTGGGGGAGGGTCCTGTGTGCCCTGGTCTATAGGATGTGCCCACAGGAGGGCTCTGGGCAACTACAGCCATCCTTCCCACTGGATTCTGACTCTGAACTCCAGGAGGGCTGACATCACCATCCTTCCCACTGGATTCTGACTCTGAACTCCAGGAGGGCAGGGTGGTGGCAGATTTTCTTCACTGTATCCCCAGCACCTGACTCAGGCCCGACACAGAGGAGGTGCTCAGCAAAGGTAGTGAATGAAGGAATAAATGAATGAATGAATGAACACTGGCGAGGAACTCCAGTTGGGGGTGAGAAATGGAGAGGGAGAGGCTGTGAACTGTGCACTCTGGTGGTTGAACACACGGGGTAATGGATCACAAGGGTTCCCAGAGTGGTACCCTGGTGCAAGTTCCATGGGTGGGTGAGATAGGGTTTTAGGTGGGCACACGCTTCTCATTTAAAGCATTGTACTTCCAACATATTTCTCTGTACAGCCATCTTGAATACAGCAACAATGACATTTTCCACTTGCAGTAGTATACAAACTGTTCTCTGCCCTGCTCTCAAATCGTTACACACACAACCATCTTCACATATGGTAAAAGGGATGGAGTGAGGAAGCCAATGACCTGTTAGGGAAGCAGGTAGCTAACTCTAAGGGAACAGGGAGGGGGCTCCTGTGTGTCCTGCAAGAGACGGGGAGTTGGTCCAGCAGTCATGAGGTAGAGGAACAGCAAAGTCTGGACTCAGGAGCATATCCTGTTAAGGAAAATGAGAGACTCCAGAGAGGATCCTCAATGAAGCCGGAGAGCTGGGGAGGTAAGACAGAGAGTGAGCGGGAAGGGCCCTGCTTTGGGGAGCTTGACTTGATGCGCAGGGCCGAGGAGCCCTCATCAGCCTTCCGGTTAGAAAGCCCAGTCTGACGGCGGCGGTGGTAGAAACAACTTGGGCATCAGGCACGTTCCTGTGCGGTGGGGGGCTGCTCTGAAGTCAAAGCGCTTCATCTCCGCAGCCTGGGTTTCCCGCTCTGAAAACGAGCGCGAAACTATGTAGACCTCCTGTTCTGGGGAAGAAATGAAGGGTACTTGACCCACAGGAGGTGCCCTTCCCTGTCCTTTCAGAGGCAGGGACACACAGTTCTGAAGTTAAAAATCCACAGGGTTAGAGAGCAAGTCGGAGCTGGTTGCAATGGTGAAAAATCTCCGAGGGAGCTGGAGGACGCGGTGCCCTGCGGGGACGGGGACCACCGGAGGGAGGGTGGAGAGTTGTTTGGGTTAAGCCGCGGCGGGTGGAGGTGCGGCTCGGTCCCGGCGCAAGAAGCGCATTTCCGTCCCTGCCCAGTCCGGGCTCCCTTCCCAGGCGGGTCCTCCCGAGCACCTTCCGGGGCGGACCCCGGGCTTCGGCGCTCCCGCCCCGGCCGCCGGCTCTCCTCCGCAGGCCCGCCAGGGGGCGGCAGGGCTCCGGGGGCGCGCGCTGCCTGGGCGCGCCCGGCGCCCCTCTCTTCGCTCCAGGGCTGGGGCCCAGGCGGGCGAGACGGGCCGGAGCCCCGGGGCGGCGGGCCTCCCTCCGCGGCGTTCCCAGGCGGTGCAGACGTTAACTCATGCCTGCCCGCAGGGAAGGGAGAGGCCGGGCGGCTGGCAGGAGGCCCGGGGAGAAGCGGGGAGAGCGGGCCCGAGCCGCTCCCGTCCTTCGCCGACCTCGGTCCGGCCGCAGCTCGGGGCTCCTGCGGGCCGAGGGTGGCGTTCGCAGCCCGGGTCTTATCGCTGGCGCCGGGGCTGGGCGGCCGCTCCCCAGGAGCACCTGGGGTCGAGGAGGCTGCCGGGCGGGCCTCACCGTGGGCGGAGGGGCCCCGCGCGGGCCGGGGGAGGCCATGTCGGCCCGCGGGCCGGGCGGGGGCCGGCGCTCGCGGGGAGCCAGGCCCGACCTGGAATGAGTCAGAAATCACCTTGTTTAATTACACATTCCCGAGGCCGCCGAGTGCGATAGGGGCCTTTTGAACTTGCCAATTAGAGGTGAAATATCACCTTCTAATTTAGATGGGCTTAATTCCGTCAAGCAGAAATAGCAACAGCCCCGGGCTCGGAGATGGGATATCAAGTCTCTCTCCTGGCACGTCTGGGGTGACGCGACCAGCCAGGAGGAAGGGCGCAGAGGGAAGGGGACTGTGAAGCAGCTGCTGCTCGCGCTCTCACCCTCACCCCACTGGAATGGGGGGACGCGATGTGGAGGGGGAAGCTGCCGGCCCGAGCCTGGGCGGGGGGGAAGGGAAGGTCCCTAGCTCTGGGTGGGCGTATATCTGAGCAAGGGAGCGGCCCACCGGGGTCCAGACTCTGGCGTGCCTCTGACCTGAGGAGACTTTCTTGGGGGTTTAGAAAAGGAGGCTGGATCTGGGAGTCTGGGAGGCCTACCGGGGGGGGGGGGGGGGGGGAGAGAACGTCTGGCAGGCGGAGGGAAGCAGGAAAAGTGGGCAAGGGCCCGATTTGGAAGGGGCGTGCTAAAGCCTGTTTTGCTGCCCAGGGGGTGGTTAAGCAGGGAATCTGGAGTTGAGTCCAACTGCCCAAGATCCAGTTTGAGATAGGTAGTTCACTAGCTCCCTAACTTTGCCGTAATCACTTAGGCTCACCAAGCTTCATTCCCCATCTGTAAAATGGACTAGAAAATATCTGTCTCCTTGGATTGCAGTATTACATGCAGTAGTGCAGGTAAAGGGCCTGGCATGTGGAAGCAGTCAGTACTTGGTAGCTGCTGTTCTGTTGAGGGCGGCACTGCCCAATGAAAAGAAATCTTCTTGTTAGCCACATTTTTAATAAAGGAAAAGGAAGCAGGTGAAATCAGTTTTAACATATTTTATGTAACTCAGTATATTCAAAGCATCATTTCAATATATACTCAATATAAAATTATTGAGATACTTTATATCCTTCGCTTGTACTAAGCCCTGAAATCTGGTGTGTATTTTATGTTCTTGGCACTTCTCAATTTGGACTAGCCTCATTTCAAGTGATTAGTAGCCACATAGGGCTGTGCAGTGGCACAGGATTAGGGCTTTGTTTTTAATCCTTTTAGCAGAGATCCCACACTTTACAAAAAAGAGAGAGGAGTGGGGAACAAAATCTTGCACAGAACCCCATTATATATACTAGAGAGGAATGACTCTGCTCTGAAGTTCTTCTAGATCACCTCTCCCCACACCCCCTCCCTGGTGGTGTTCCCCTCATCACCCCTGCCCCCAGCACTTTGAGACCCTCTTGCTCTGAGCACTTGGCTGTTATGCAAGGTTGTTAGAGAGGATGACAGCATTTCAAATTTGGGCTTCACAACTGTTGTTCCAGTAGGTCCTCACCACTCCCTTTGAGGCAGGTAGGAACATCATACATTCCACCACAGGTGAGTAGACTCAGTCCCAGGTTATCTGATTACAGGGTGTCACATCTCCCACCCCCACCCCCAGCATCCTGTGGTCTCCCTGGACAGGTTCCCCTAGGTGACCATCAGGCAGTTCATCCAGACCCTGAGACCCAGGAAGCATCATCCTCACCATCCTCACTAATGTGAAATGATGCATACACTGTGCCCAGCACTAGGCTAAGCACTTTATATTTCTTGTCTTCTTTAATCCTCCTGTAAGGTACTAAGAATTATTAATGCCATTTTAAAAAAAGAAAATTCAGGGGGCGCCTGGGTGGCGTCAAACTTCAGCTCAGGTCATGATCTCGCAGTCTGTGAGTTCGAGCCCCGCCTCGGACTCTGTGCTGACGGCTCGGAGCCTGGAGTCTGCTTTGGATTCTGTGTCTCCCTCTCTCTCTGCCCCTCCCCTGCTCATGCTCTGTCTCTCTCTCTGTCAAAAATAAAAATAAACATTAAAAAAAAATTAAAAAAAAAAAAAAGAAAATTCAGGCCCAGAGACGTTAAGGAACTTGCCCAAGGACACACAGCCAGGATGCAGTAGTGCTGGGACCTGAACCTAGGGCTCTTGATGGTTGTGCTACATGTCAGAGCATGGGACCTCCTCCAGGTGGATAGTTCCTCCTCAATGACACGGTACACCAAGATTTTCTGGAAATCAGACTCCTATTCTTTACAGAGGCAGTTTGGGGTAATAGAATGGTTTTGGAGACTCACTCTGCCACTTACTGGCTCTGTCTGAGCCTCAGTGACCTCAACTGTCAAGGGAACTAACCCAGGTGACTTGCTATGTGCCAAGCCTATTCCCTTAATAAGTGGGAAGAAGATTGATTCCTCATGGAAAGAGTTTTACCTTTAGAAGCCAGCATCACTCCCAGGATGGTTCCAGGGCAGGGCTGTGGATGATTTTACCCCTTTACCTTTCAATAACGTAGGCCTGATCCCTACCCACCCACAGCACAGGGGTTCCCATGTTACCCTGCTCTGAAGGGCCAGTCATCTGGGAGCAGAAGGTAGAGTTGGAGCAGCAGGCCCCCAGGGTGGTCCAGGAGAACTAGGTGGGAGAGATCAGAGGCCAGGTGGGGAACTTTAGCCCTGAGCAAGACCTTCCTTTCCAGGCTAGCGACTGATGGGGGCTGCCTCAGCACCCCTCACTATAGTCCATCCACCTAGGCAGGCTCAGGAATGGAGGGAGGCTGCCCCAACATGTTTCCCAGGATAGGAGGAATGAGGCCTTTTTCCAGAGGCTCAGACTGTGAGCTGAGGTGAGGCTTCTGGAACCTCCCTGGCTGGAAGAGGAAGCTGGCTGGAATATGTGTGCAGGCTCCACAGCAGAGGCAGCAAACCTGAGAGATCTGGGTTTTGAGGGCCCAGGCCTCAGAGGGCCTCTGGTGAGCAGCTGCAGTGCTCTTTGGTGTTGTCACCCCAAAAGCGTGTTCAGCTCTCAGGGAGCAGGAAGAGGGGGTTCCAGAACTGAGGCAGTACATTCTTGATCTGCACTCTGACTTCCATGGTAATTTCTGCACAGCCACTCAGACATTCTCAGTTTCCACTAAAGTGATGTGGGAGAGCATGGGTGTCCCAGAGGCAGCCACAGACTGGGGTGAGCTGTCCCCCCGACGTCTCTGCCCAGGCTTCCTCTGTGCGGTTCTCTTAAGACCCCCAACCCCCACCCCAATCAAACCAAGGTGAAATGTCCCCCCAGTACAAATCAAGCCAAACTCTTTTTCAAGAAAACAATTGCAGCTGAACATGAAACCTGAACCTGAAAACCCAACTGCCCTGTCATCAGCTCTGTCCCCAAGGCTGGACTAGGTCCAGGTTCAGCAAACACATTTGAGGCATGTCAGATGTCAAATCGCTGGTCAGAGTGCAACCAAAAGCATCTTCCAGGCAAGGCCAAGCCGACCCGCTCCCACCCTCTTCCTGGCCCAGAGGACCCAAATATGAGGCTTGCCTGGCACCCCCGCCCCCCTTTCCCTGTCTTCTGCAGGCTTCTGGCAGCCAAGGCCTGGCCGAGCCCCACCCCACACAGCTGCAGATATTTATAGCTATGTCCCTTTCCCAGCCCTGTCCCAGCTCCCGAGGGCTCTGCTCTGGCTGTTCTCTATCTCCCTTGGCTCCCTGCTGCAAAATCAAATCTGGGGCATCAAGAAGTTCAGGAACGTGTCTTCCATAGGAATTGGAATTGTACTGCTCTGATATTAAGCCACCTTCTACAGTTTTCTGACGGTGGGGGCGGGGGAAGTTGGGGGAAATGAATTCCTGATACATTTTCTTTGGCTGTTTTTGCCTTGCAGCGCCCGCATCTACCTACAGCCCATCCCCAGGGGCCAATTACAGTCCAGCTCCCTACACCCCCTCACCTACCCCTGCCTACACCCCCTCGCCCGCCCCCACCTACTCCCCTTCCCCGGCACCAACCTATACCCCCTCGCCAGCCCCAAGCTATAACCCTGCATCCTCAGTGACCTACAGCGGGGGCCCTGCGGAGTCTGGCAGCCGCCCACCGTGGGTGACAGATGACAGCTTCTCTCAGAAGTTTGCCCCTGGCAGGAGCACCACCTCCATCAGCAAGCAGACCCTGCCCCGAGGGGCCCCTGCCTACACCCCAGCAGGGCCCCAGGTGTCCCCCCTGGCCAGGGGCATCGTTCAGCGGGCTGAACGCTTCCCAGCCAGCAGCCGGACTCCGCTCTGTGGCCACTGCAACAACGTCATCAGGTATGGTCCAGCCTTGGCCGTGAGCTGGGGTGCTAGAAGGGCAGTGGGGAGGCTCGCCCACTCTCTGAGCCTTGGGGGGGGTGACAGGGGGAGGGAGGGCAGGTATAGGAAGAAGGCTGCGGGGCAGCCTCGGGTACCTCTGGCTTGCCACCTAGTCTGACCCCCTTTGAGCTTTAGCTTCCATACCTGTGTGACACCCACATCCCTGGGGAGTCAGGAGAATTCCATGAGGTAAGTGAGTGAAGCTCCCAGCGCAGTGCCTGGTGCCAGGACCTCTCCCTTGGGCTAAGGCCGGGTTCTGGGAATTGTTGGTCTTGTTGTCAGTAGGTTTATAGGGCATGTTGCAAGCTGGCTGACAGTGCTAGTTTTGACCCAGCTTTCCTTCAGGGTTGCTTCTGGGTCTTTCCACAGACAGGCCTGTGCTGCTCAGGGCTTTGGTGGGCATCTACTACACTAAAAGGAAAACAAGTCATTTCATGGACCATAGGTGATACTTGTTGGAACATAGTGTGTTTATAGTATGTGTGTGTTTGGGAGGTAAGCTTATATATGTGATAAATACATTTTTATTTAAAAATAAAGTAACACAGAAAAAGGAAAAAGAAAGAAACAAAGTACACTTGCTCACTAGAGAAGAATTAGAAAATTCAGAGAAGTGGGCCATGTGGGTGGCTCTGTCGCTTAAGTATCCAACTTCGGCCCAGGTCACGATCTCATGATTCTTGAGTTCAAGCCTCGCATCAGGCTTTGTGCTGACCCCGCGGGGCCTGCTTGGGATTCTCTCTCTCTCCCTCTCTCTCTCTGCCCCTCCCCAACTTGTGCTGTCTCTCTTTCAAAATAAATAAATAAACTGAAAGATTAAAAAAAAAATTCAGGGGGCACCTGGGTGGCTCAGTCAGTTGAGCGTCTGACTTCAGCTCAGGTCATGATCTCACGGTCTGTGAGTTCGAGCCCCGCATCGGGCTCTGTGCTGACAGCTCAGAGCCTGGAGCCTGTTTCAGATTCTGTCTCCTCTCTCTCTGCCCCTCCCCCGCTCATGCTCTGTCTCTCTCTCTCTCTCTCTCTCTGTCAAAAATAAATAAACATAAAAAGATTTTTTTTTTAATTCAAAAAAGTAAAAATTTAAATTTAAAGCATTTCCTTGTAGTCCCACTGCTCCGACTGCTAATCTGGAACTAGGCAACGCAGGCTCATATACTGGGTCTACTGTACTGGCCTTGAACAACTTACTTCACCTCTCTGTGCCTCAGTTTCCTTATCTGAAAATGGGTACTCTAATTCTACTTCTTAGGATTGTTGTAAGAACTAAATAAGTCAATAAATGCACATTTCCTCTTAGGTAGTGCCACAGAGTCAGCGCTCAATAAACTTCCACCATTGACGTGGTCATCTTTGCTCTTCGTATTATAATTATCAGGCGTCAACTGAATGGATATTCTACAGTATGCTTCCCTGGTCCCCTACTTGCAGATATTTGAGCCGCTTTCCCCTTTCTCTTTATTGTAATTGATGCAACAACGAATATCTTCTTGCATAGAGCTTTCTCTGAATTTCACATTAGTTCGTTAGAACAGTCACAAAAGTCAGGGTTATGGGGTCACAGCATGAATACTGTTGGGGGGGTCTCAAGCTTGGTGCTGTTCTCTGCTTCTCCAGGGGCCCCTTTCTGGTAGCCATGGGCCGTTCCTGGCACCCGGAGGAGTTTAACTGTGCCTACTGCAAGACCTCCCTGGCGGACGTGTGCTTCGTGGAGGAGCAGAGCAACGTTTACTGCGAGCGCTGTTATGAGCAGTTCTTTGCCCCAGTCTGTGCCAAATGCAACACGAAAATCATGGGGGTAAGTGGGCAGCATCCCTCTCCTCTGACCCTGTATTTTCCCCACCAGTCTCTTCCCATCCCCAGGATTGTGGGGTCCCCTTAGGAAGCCAAGAAGGGGCTGCTAACAGAGAGAGAACAACTCTCTTTCTATCCCTACAAGAGAGTTGGTTTGCCACCAAGGGACTGGGGAGCAAATGAACTTGAAGGGAGAGATGGTTACATGCCCCGGGCCACACAGCTTGAAGCGTCGGCAGAGCTTCTGCAAAACAAGTTATCACTTCATAGACTGACCTTGCCATGCACCCACATATGGCCTTGACCACCCCCCCCTCCATGCTCCTTTGGGAAAATGGCAGCCATAAGCAGTACTTCCTCACCAGCTTTGATGGGAGGGTTAAGAATCACAGCTTAGGTAACCACCTTCCAGATGATTCTGACACAGAACCTGGTACCCAGCAAGTGCTGCATGAGCAGGAACTCCTCTGCCACTGCCCTCACCCCTCCACTCCCAGGCCTTTCCTGAGCATGTCCAAGGCCCACTTAGTCCTGCTCCTCTTTGGGATGCTCCAGCAGTAGCCAGGGCCTGGTGAGGGAGAGCAGGCCCAGCTTCCTCTCTCCCCGGGAGCTTTCTGACCTGAGCTGAGGCTCTTTCCCCCAGGAAGTGATGCATGCCCTGAGACAGACATGGCACACCACCTGCTTTGTCTGCGCAGCCTGCAAAAAGCCCTTTGGGAATAGCCTCTTCCACATGGAAGATGGGGAGCCCTACTGCGAGAAAGGTAGGACCACTGTGCTGCGGGGAGGCCTGGTGGTGTGGGAGAATGGGGCAGGTACGGGGAACTCCTGCCTTTGTCTGTTCACATGGGACCATCAGGAGGCTCCAAATGGCAGAATCATGGTTTTCTGGGAGTCGGGTCTATAGCTTCTTTTTTCCCCCCCACATTCAATCTTTGCTCCCTTCCCTGCACCAAATATGTGGATCACAGGTGGCATCTTGTAACCACTTGGGAACCCTTCAGATGATTTTGATCTGGAGACCACAAGGTCGAGTCTGAAAAGGCTTTGGCTCTGGACTTCGAATTAGGTTCTGTCCCAGGTTCCACCTTGGACGGGCTTTGTAACCCTGAGTGAGTTATTAAACTTCTCTGAGCCTCACTTTCCCCATCTGTAAAAAGGGGGCATATGAACACCCGCCTCATGAGTTGTAGTGAGGATTTAACCTGAGAAAGTGTGTAAAGCATCAAACACGTGAAAGCCCCTTTCCCTGCCCCTCTCATGTTCTTCCAGAGTCCTATGATCTCCCTGTCTGAATTCAGAGTTTCTCTTTTCCCCAAATGTTACATTTTACCTTAAACTTGGAGTAAAGTATTGTAAATTCTGAAGACAAAGCACTCTACTAGAGATTTGCTGTCCTGGCTAATCAGCCACTCACTCACTCACTCATTTATGCATAGCCTGCCTTTTTCAGAAGAGGGTTTGAGGCAGGTTCCAACAAAGGTAACGTGGACATGAAGGTTAATACAACAGAACTAGAAAATCGACACCAAGCAGAAAAGGGAAAAGCAAGCAGGCTGATTGTGAAGAATAACAGAGCAACAGTGACTGGGCAGCCAATTTGAGGGCAGAAAGAGAAACACAGTAAGTTAGTTTACTTTAAAATCAGAAAGGAGAAAACATTCCAGTTCCTCAAGGGGAAAAGCAAAGTAGACTAAAACTATTTTCCCCTGACAATAAGTTAGAAAAGAAATTTCCTGGGTTCTTGTATACTGGCAAGTTCTCTTTCTAGCTCTTATTAATTGAATGACTTAGTTACTGAGTCATTCTGTGCCTCAGTTTCCATATCTGTAAAAGGGAACAGATAATGATGTCATTTCCTTTCTTATGAGTGCGTGGTGATAATTGTTAGATAATTAGTAGATAATGGATAAGTGTGCAGTTGTGTCAATACAAATTGCTATTATTCATTGGCTGAGAGCATTACAACTTCCATAATTTGTGTCTGAGGCTTGCAAAAGAACGACAGATTTCCACTATCACCACTGTCCCTCTCCATAGTAACCAGCCCCCACCCCCCGGCAAAAAAAAACCTGATGGACATTTGGGTTGCTTCCATTTTTTGGCTATTGTGAATAATGCTGCTATGAACATGGGTGTCCATAGATCCTGTTTTCTTGTTTTTTAAGTTTATTTCTTTATTTATTTTGAGAGAGAGAGAGAGAGAACGTGGGTGAGGGGCAGAGAGAGGGAGAGAGAGAATCCCAAGAAGGTCCTGTGCTGTCAATACAGAGCCTGATGTGGGGCTTGAACTCACAAGCCATGAGAAGTCGAGTCAGACGCTGAACGGACTGAGCCACCCAGGTGCCCCTAAAAGACACTGTTTTCAATTCTTTGGGGATATATACCCAGAGGTAGGATTGCTGGGTCATGTGGTATTTCATTTTCTGAGGCTTTCAGGAACTTTCATACTAGATGCACCCTTTTACAATCCCAACAGTGCACAGAGCTCCAATTTCACTCCATCTTTGCCTACACTTGCAAATTTTGCTGTGTTTTTTTGGTAGCTGCCATCCTAATGAGGGTGAGGTGGTATCTCTTGTCATCATTTTTATCAGCAACTTGGAAGAAGACACAGAAGGGAGAATGCCAGAATGATAGGATCTAGACTCAAAAAGATTTCATCAATTGCCATGATGAGCTGACACTTTTATATATGATACCTTGCACGTAAGTAAGAGAGGTAGGAAGGTCAGCCCTTCATGGAGGGGCCTGCCCTGGAGCAGTGACCCAGACTGGTGGGGTGTCACAACCACTTGGGAAACTTTAAAGATATAAAGAACACCTGGGTGGCTCAGTCGGTCAAGTGTCTGACTGTGGCTCAGGTCACGATCTCACGGTTCGTGGGTTCGAGCCCCGTGTTGGGCTCTGTGCTGACAGCTCAGAGCGTGGAGCCTGCTTCGGATTCTGTGTCTCCCTCTTTCCCTTCCCCTCCCCTGCTCATGCTCTTTCTCTCAAAAATAAACACTAAAAAAATTAAAAATTAAAAAAATAAAGGTACTAGAAAGATCAATTCTCAGACCTACAGATGCAGAATTTCATCACTCTCCCCCCACACAGATGATCCTATATTCAGTTAGGTTTGAGAATTGAGGTATGATCCCAAGACCAGCAGTATCAGGATCAGAGAAATGCAGATCTTCAGGTCTCGCCCCAGGTCTGCTGAATCAGAAACTCTGAAGGGTGGAGCCCAGTAATCTGTGTTTTAGTGAACACTCGAGATGATTCTGTTTGAGAACGACTGCTCTAGGAAAGCGCTAAGCCCTTTTTCAACAGAGAGCAACTGTGATTTGGTGGATGGAAACCCTTTTACAATAGCAATAAAATCCATTAAATACAGGGTATGAATTCATCTTGGGGCATAAGAAAGTAAGTCAAAGAAAATTATAAAGACCTAATAGGAGAAATAAAGTAAGAAATAAATAAATGAGGAGCTAGATTATGCTCCTGGTGGGAAAGACCCATGCACAAACTTACTTCCAATTATATTCTCATTGTTTTAGGATAAATGAGAAATATATTAACTTCAAAAAAATGTATTAGGGCCAAGACTTGTGCTACCAAATTTTAAAACAAAGTGGCAGGCACTTCTTAAGACCATACAGAATCAAATATAAAACAGAAAAACCGATCAGTAGGCAAGACTAGATGTTCCATTTTAAGAGCTTAATCTTAGGCTGCACAACAAGAAAAGGAACCAGTATTTAATAAGGTTTTCCGAACATTTCTTTTGTTTTTCCATTCATCATTTATCCATCAAGTATGTGCCATTTCCTATGAAAGACACTGTGCATTGGGAATGGGTCCTTGTCCTCAAAAACCTCAAGCAGATACATCATCATGTGATATGCCATAACATAAATGGATAGTCCAGCGATAATGATTGAATGGATGAATGAATGGATTGAGAAGGCAGGGAAGCCAAGAGAAGCCCCCCAGGAAGGTCATCTTGTCTTTCTTGGTTGAGGTAGAGGATGAAGGCTTCCCAGGAGGAAGGCCTGGCTCAAAGGATTGTAGAGATCCAAGGTAGACAAAGTGGGGATGGTTTTCCAAGCCCAGGGCCTGGTTCATACACAGGCATGATGAGGTAAAGGAGAGAGACAGAGCCCAGGGCATCTGGAGGCTGGGAGTAATGAGAGAGAAGTCAGAAGTGGGGGTGCAGGGCTGGCCCTCCCATGGAGATGGGGTAGCCTATGATCCTGTTTCTCACCCACACTAGTTCTTACAGAGCACAGAGTCAACTGTAAACTGTAACTTTGTAAAGGAAGCAAAATAATGTTTTCTTTGCTCTGGTGAGGTGATAGATTTCTGCCCACCAAACAAATTAAGAATCCTGTCAGAGATAGGATTAACAGACTGTGATATTTATAACGACATTTGCATGACAAACTGTAATTAAACCCCAAAGGGAAAACCATACATTGGAAAAAATACGCAAGAGATATTACTTATCAAAGCTCAATGGCAAATAGATAACTGAAGACCGCATAAAGTTGTGGAAAGAGAATGAACTTTGGAGTCCATCAGGCTCCTACTGCTTGTGTGCTGGAACCTCTATGGCCAGTTTCCTCGTCTTTAAAATGGGAATAATACTTCTTCACAGACCTGCTGTGAAGATTCACCAAGAAACTTAGGAAAGCACTAATATCGGACCGGTGCATAATAGACACTTGGATCACGTTTCCTTCCCTCCTTTTATCATTTATAAAGACATTCACAGTAAGAGCCACTATTTCTGAGTGTGCCAAGTACATTCACATGCATTATCTTATTTAATCTGTACAACCACTCCACAACTTAGGTACTGAAAGATGAGACACTGAGGAGTTGGGTGGTTTGTCCCAGGTATGAACAATTCCTGAATAGATCTGGGACTTGGGCTCAGTGCTTTCTTTCTTCAGAACCCAAGTTCATGGGGCGCCTGGGTGGCTCAGTCGGTTAAGGTTAAATGTCCAACTTTGGCTTAGGACATGATCTCGCGGTTCACGAGTTTGAGACCCACATCGGGTTCTGTACTGACAGCTCAGAGCCTAGAGGCCGCTTCAGATTCTGTGTCTCCCTCTCTCTCTGCCTCTTTACCGCTCGTACTCTGTCTCTCTCTCTCTCTCAAAACAAAAAGAACCCAAGTTCATAACACCCTGTGGCTCACTGCCTCTCCGCATGTGGCCTACAATGGCAAACAGGCTCACTGTCCCCAAGGAGAACTGAGCAGAAAAATGATAAAATGAAAAGCCAACTGTGGAGAGACAAGTGTACCTCTAGGGGAATGAAGGCTTTGTAAAAGGCATCTAACTTCTCTAAAAGAATCTGGAAGAGTTCTACAGTGAGTGCAGTGGAACAGCTGCCCCTGGGACCCAGACAGGCAGCTCCTGAGTTGGAGAAGGATGGGCCCACTGTGTCTCAGCTGTGTGACTCTGGTGAGCCTCAGTTTCCTCATCCACAGAACAAAACAAAACAAAAAATGATTATAGTTCCATCTCTGAGGGATGATTTTTGAAGATTAAGTTTATTCATTGACTTCATTCAACACGTATGTGTTGGGTATGGATTTGTGTGTCAAGCACTGTGTTGAGGGTGGAAAGAAAGCTAATACAAACTTATACATAGACCATGACATTGAGATACTAGTAAATAATACTATCTATGTGAGAATGCTTGGTAGGCTGCAAAGCATTATACAAATAACACTTGGTATTATTATCTCTTTGGCTGGGGTGGGGGATGGGGGCCATGTCTTAACATAGTAGTTCAAATATTGTTTCTAGTAGTGAAAATTCGTTATCAACACAAATGCCCAATGACAGAAGAATTTCCAACCAAAGAACATACTATAATTCCTAAAAATGTTAAGGGCTCTCCTTCTTCCAAACTAAGCATAGCTATTGGGAAATATGATTTTTTTTTTCTTTTTTGGGATTGGTTGGTTTAGGCTATAAAAGCTGACAGAGACAGAGGAGAAAATCACCCTGCAGAAAGTGAGTGACAGATCCAGAAAGTGTTTGCAAATCAAACCAGCCAAGAGTGGCAACTAAGCCTGAATCCATACAACACCACGACAAAGTATTGAAAAGGAAAGAAACCCAATCATGTAACTAAACATTTGTCTGCAGGATGACAAGTAACCAGTTCGGTTGTACCCACTGCCCCAGTTCAGTGATATGGGGTGTTCTCCTGGCATTGGGTCAGTGCGTCCAGGATGCTTCTCCCAGCCTGCCTGGATGCCAGGTCCTCACTCTGCCTTTCATTTCAGACTACGTCAATCTGTTCAGCACCAAGTGTCATGGCTGTGATTTCCCTGTGGAGGCTGGAGACAAGTTTATTGAAGCCCTGGGCCACACCTGGCATGACACCTGCTTCATCTGTGCGGTATGTTTTTAGCCTGGGGTTCTCACTTTCTGAGAAGGGGCAGGAGGGACCTAGTGGGGCCAGGTGACCAACCCTCTACACCCCTTTCAACTCTGGCCTTCTGATACTCTGGTCATTTTTAAAAGCTGGCAAGTACCGTGATGCCTTGATATGTCACAGTCAGGCAAAGTTTTATTACTAATAAGTATGCATAAAGCAATGTGGCTTTGTTACTCTCCATCTCATAAGGACAGCAGAGTGTCCTCCCAGGGTCTGTCAGACCAGCACCTGGCCTCACCAGCAGTGCTCTCAACAGTTGGGAGCAACGACGTGAGTTCGAGCCCCGTGTCAGGCTCTGTGCTGACAGCTCAGAGTCTGGAGCCTGCTCTGGATTCTGTGTCTCCCTCTCTTTCTGCCCCTCCCCTGCTCATGCTCTGTCTCTCTCTCTCCCTCAAAAATAAAGAAAGAAAGAAAGAAACAAATAAATAAAATACTTGGGAGCAGTGAATGATGCCTGGGTTAAAATAGAGATGGTTGGTTTCCTATGGTTATAAGATGTGTTAGATATGATGAAGTGATTTAAGGGTTTTCCCCCAAATTTTCGCCGTGAAACACCAGATTGTAGCTTGTTGACTCATCCTATGAAAAGCTGAGATAAGGCTTTTTTTGAGAGAATGTTTAGGAATTGGGGCTGAGTATCATTTTATTTTCCTAAATGGTCTTGTTCTTGATATGTAGTTGCCAGGAGATAAACCCTAGATTAACTATTAACCACGTGCCATTTATTTCTGCCAAACAGCCAGGTCATTTTTCCCATGGGATTGGCACTTTCCTTCCGAGGGCTTCAGGTTGGGGAGGAGACACAGCAAGAAGTCACCGACATTTAGACTCTGCCTTAGATTTAGGGAATATTCAGCCCTGAGAAAGTCCTGTCACGTGAGTCTGCAATTGCCTGAACTTTATTTGGGAAAATTAATGTGCTGCTACTACTTCCTTTTTTCTTTTCTTTTTTTTAAAACCAGAGCTGCCAAGGTAAAGTGTGGTAATGTATGAAATATCCATGCAGTTTAAACTTGAGCAATTTTTATAGACTGAGGAGATAGGACAACCCTCGCCATGAAGTTTACTGCAATGCGCTTCAGGTTTCCACGCCTCCATTCATGGGGTGCACTGTATTGACTCGGTGTGTTTGTTTGCTAGGGCAGCTGCAACAACATACCAAAATCTGATGGCTTCAACAGCTGAAATGTATTCTCTCACAGTTCCAGAGGCTAGAAATGCAAATTCAAGGGCCACGTTCTCTCTCCCGGCTTCTGGTGGTTGCCAGCAATCTCTGACGTTTCTTGATTACAGCTATGGAACTTCTGTCTCTGCCTCCATGGTCACACGGCCGCCTTCCTTCTGTGTGCCTGTGTCCTCACATGGCGTTCTCCTCTGCGTGTGTGTCTCTCTATACGCTTCTCGTTTTCTTATAAGGACACTGGTCATATTGGATTAAGGGCCCGCCTTACTCCAATATGACCTCATTTAACTTACATCTTAATTACATCTGCAAAGATCCTACTTCCAAATAAGGTCACCACTGTGTCCCTGCGCTGGGTAGATTTAAGGTACTGGAAGTAAGGACTTCAGCGTATGAATTTGGGGAAGGAAACACACAATTCAATCTAAACACTGATTTTCCAGCTTTTGGAATAGATTTTCTCCTTGCCTTTTAGGGTCCTTTAAATACACCAGGTCCTCCCCTCTGCAAAGGAGTAACAATGTGAATATATTGGCTTTTGGGTTGTCCCCTACAGAGCCATGGCTCAGCAAGGCACATAGAGCTGTCTGACCCTTATATTCAAGCCATGGCTTGTCTTATCCTAAGATGCTGCCTGCAAGTCTGGTTACCCAACTTCCAGAAGAATCCAAGTGACTTGGAGAAGGTCCAGGGCAGACAGTGGCACAGAAGGCCTATTCTCTGAGGGCAGGATAACAAGAGGTCTGTGTCACATGGAGGGGTGAGCATGGGTCTCCTCTCTCAAGCCCACTGTGTTTGGCTGAGGGTCACAGTGGCATAAATCCCAGAGAGAGACCAGAAGAAGCAGTAAAGCATGGGTTGTTCAGGTTGAGATTGCAAATAAATCCCAGTCAGGTGTGAGAGACCCATCGCAGTGCCCAAAGAATCCACCCAAAGAAGCCAGGCTCATCCTGTTCTTTGGAGAATCAGTGTGGTGAATCATTACATCTTCCTCCAAAGTGGTCCTGTGTGGCGCTCACTGCCCTGTTTAGATATATCGAAGTGAAGCACGGTTTTGGTTTTAAGTTTTGGAAAGCTATCTTTTGATTGGAAAACTGTGAGGGTCTTTTGTGGGGAGGGGGTCCTTTATCCACCACTTTATATTTCCAAATCAACTTTGATGAGCGTATATTTTCCTATAACTTAAAAAAAAAAACCTAGTAAGAAAAGAAGATCAAAAACTAGCTCTCCCAGCTGATATGCTGTTTTCCTATCAGTTAGATCTCAGGAGAGCACATAACTTTAGACTAATTCAATTTACCAAATATTTCTTGAGCTTGGGGACTACAAGAGTATCCCAGAACAAGTCTCCACCTTCAAGGAGTTTGGAATCTTGAAAGGAAAGCAAAGCTGACGTATATGAGCAATTAAAGAACAGGAGAAGACAGCCCCTCTAAAGTCCCATGCATATAAAATGATGGCTGAGAAGGGCTGTGTGGGTCAGGATGAAGGTTAAGCTCCTGTCTGGCTTTGGCACTTGAGTTCCAATGGAAAGGATGTGGGACAAAGGTGTCTTACTGTGGCCCCTCTTTTCCTCTAAGTCTTGTTGGGTTTCTAGATCTTCCTCACTGGTGTGGGTATCGGGGGGGCGGGGGGGGGGCAGGGGTGTAACTTTTGTAGGAAGCCCTCATAGGAGCTGTTGTAGCTGGCCCATTTCATTGCCTTCCAGCACTGTCCATGACCCCCACTCCTTCCCAGTCAGGCCCTGATGCCACTTGACCATGGAGCCTGGGGGTTGGACCATCCCTGCTGTGCCCCTCTGCTGAGTAGTCTGGGGATCTCCACCACGAAGCCACCTTGTATCCCATACAGGGTCTCCTAGCCCAAGACAATGAGCATGACCTCTCTATGATGTTTTCTGCCCTCGGCTCCATCTCTTACCAATGAGTCACCCCTGAAGCTCTGGCCCTTCCTCACTTCTTGGTCTTTAGTCCCCAACACGCTCTCCAACTTGTATCAAAGTTCTCACAAGTAGCCAGCATTGTCCCAGACTAGAACAAGAACCCCAGATGTTGACAGGCAGCTCCGTGAGAACTCACTCCAGAGCTGCCTTTCTGTCTTCCCTGAAACCAACCTCACTGTTGGATTTTGGGCTTGTCTTCACCAGCAGCTTGAGGTCACATAAGAGCGTGGTTACACTCAATATCACTGTACCCACCTGGGATATTTTCAGTCACTTTTCTAGGTCATTGGTTTCTGGGGCCCATTGGCAGCCCTGTGTGATCCCAAGTGTAACATCCTCAACTGGGTCATTAGGGACTTGCACGTGGGCCCACCGTGATGCCACTTTTCTTTCCAACTGTCTTGGAGTGGCCACATGCTCACTGACCTACACTCACCTCAAGACGGTGATTTCTCTATCCTCATGCATTCTGTGTGGGAACGGCACCTACACTTCTCCTTCTGATGTCAGTGTCCTGAATGTGGTCCCCAATTCTTCTCCCCATCTGAAATGTTCAGTGACCTCTATGACACTGGGGCCCATCCCAGCCAATGTGACCTCCCAGCTGACTCTGATACATTGGCGTATTGCCCACCCAGGGCCAGCCTGTATATACGACTAGTCCAACAAACATGGAGGGCTACCTCTATACAAGTCCATAAGCCCAGAACAATTTCAGGTAAGTATAACTCCTCTTTGCTGTGAGGTGTAGGGAAAATGAGCTTGAAACTGGAGTCTTGCAGATCTAGCATGGAGTCCCAACTCCATAACTTGCTAGGTCTCTGACTTAAGCAAGACACTTGGCTCTGAGCCACAGTTCTTCACTTGTGGAATGAGAAAAAGTTATACCTTCCCAAAAGATTTTGTAATTAAATGAGATGATGTATATAGAGTGTCGGGTCTCCTGCTTGGCCCATAGTAGCCTCAACAAATGTTACTTAGCTTTCTTCTTTCTGTGATGTCTCCATCTTCAAACTGCCCTCATATGTTGTCATCATGTGGATGTATAATTTTGCCTTTTTCATATAATATCTCCCTGCATACACTTTTCCATATTTGATTTATCTTTTGCATGATGGCATTCCATTGGAAAATGTACCAAAAGAATTTACTTAGTTACCTCCCTATAGAGAGATGTTTTAGTGGTTGTGAATTTTTGCTTCAGCACACGTTGTTCTGTGCAATAGTTTCTATAAGATAAACTCCTCCCCAGTGGTACCAGGCAGGCAGGCACATCTTTATGGCTCCTTTTCAGTGCCGCTGCCACATTCCCTACAGAAGACTGAGCTGATTCACCGAGCTGTGTCCCTAGCAGTGCACAAGTAGGCTTGATTCCCTTTTGGCATCGTTGACTGTTGATAGATACTTCTTTTTTTTTTTTTTTTTTTTTACTTTTTGGCTACAGTCATGTAAGATTAATGGTAGCAAGTGATTGGGGAGGTTTTGTTGGTTTGTTGGTTTTATCTCGTTAGATTAATAGATACCTAGTGGTCTCTCATGGAGATTTTGATTTATTTTTCCTTTACTTATTGATGAGGATCATCTTCTTTGATGTGTTTGCTAATTTACACTTGCTATTTCCTTGGATGTTAATCAACTCTGTGGATATTGACTCATGATTCTATACTGGTTTGTAATTTACTGGTTGTAAGTTAAAAACATTTTATTTATTTATTTTTGAGAGAGAGAGAGACAGAGCGTGAGCAGGGGAGAGGCAGAGAGAGAGGGGAAACACAAAATCCAAAGCAGGCTCCAGGCTCTGAGCTGTCAGCACAGAGCCCGACGTGGGGCTTGAACTCACAAACCATGAGATCATGATCGGAGCTGAAGCCAGAGGTTTAACCAACTGGGCCACCCAGGTGCCCCTTTTGTAAATTTTGGATAGCATTGGTCAGTCATCTTCATCTTGCAAATTTTGTGTCTGCCATTTAATTTAATTGGAATTTAGTTCCACGTTCCTCTTTGGAAGCCTTAAATATGCCATAATTCGAACATCTACGCTGCTTACGTCATTAAGAATCTGTAGTGAGGAGAGACAGGGCCTGCCTCATGGCCGTCTGTTCTCTGTCCCCAGGTCTGCCACGTGAATCTGGAGGGGCAGCCATTCTACTCCAAGAAGGACAAACCCCTGTGCAAGAAGCACGCACACGCCATCAATGTGTAGAGAGCCCGGAGCGTCTGACGCGGACAGGCCGGGAGCTGCTCCTGCTGCTGGCGACAAAGGATTCAAGGAGGCTGATGTTTCTTTTTGGGGGGAAAGGGGGAAGACAGGAAGCTACTGAGCCCTTTTGAAGTGTAATTTTAGTCCTTCCTTCTGCACACAGATCGTGTATTTGCATAGTTCAGACTAGAAGCCAAACGAAGATGCCTAAACCAAGCTAGTAATTAATCCAAGGCTGGAGTTGTAATTCAGACGTTCGGGACAGAATTCTAAGAACTCTAAAGTGAAAAACAAAAAGTCATCTTCTTGAAGCGATACACTTTCCCGAGGTCACTAGAGCAGGGACAGAGCTCAGAGCAGTTATGGAGAATCTGAAACGTTCTGTGGAGTTCTCTGGCAAACAGAATGAAGTGCCAAGCGGTGCTTGCTGCGGGGTATTTTTAGAGCCATAGCTGAGGGCTTGTTAGCTAAGACCGATTGGGCTTTCCTCACCAAAAAAGGAAGTGTTATTCTATTACTGGCGTCATGGAGCTACCTCTGAGCATCAGACTTCTTCAGACCTTGAGCAGAGTCGAGCGTGCTGAGGGAGTCCAGGCGTCTAAGAGGTGTTTTCTGGGAGCCGCTGGGCAGCTGACAGGGCTTCAGGAAGGGCTCTGGCTCATGCTGCAGACAGCTGAGAAAAGAAGGCCCTTCAGCCACCTTCTTTCCGTCTAAAACATCCTATGTCCCCAGAAGGTTTAGCTCTTTTTTGAATTTTGATGGGAAAGTGTAATTGGGTTTTTCCAGTTTTGCTCTGCTGTGTGTGAGAGGAGGTTTTTAAAGCGACTCCGGGTTGTGTCGAGCCTTTGTTTTGCTTCATGAAGTTCGTGAGCATGAATGTTCGGTCTTGTGCATGTATTTCACTCCCAATCCCGTGACTGCTCACTTACGAAGTCTTCCTCAGCACCCCTTCCCCCAACAGGCTTAACGACCTGTGGACAAGAAGGGAGAGACAGTGTCTGAAACAGGATGGCAGGATGGGCTGAGAACACGCCCAAACTCTGGATGGGGAGGAGGAACCTTGCGTTCTGCCAGCCTCCGTAAAAACGCGAGTGTTGGTAGGACCTCCCGCCTCCGAGCTGCGCCGTCCTTCACAAATGTTCCTTTAAGTGCAGCACACTGGTTATGTACAGTTGTGTTGACTGCTGGAAGGGAAAGATGGACCGATACGTACTCATTTGCCATTTTGGCCGACGTTTTGAAAATGTAGGAGCTGAGTTGATCTAGCAATTATTGAAATGTTTATTGAAATAGTCTTGAGTCTTCAAAATTCTTTCAAATGTTGGTGATAGTTTGAGTTAAGTAAGCATTTTAAAGCTGTTGGGTGATAAAGAGAGAAGCTTGTTAGTTTCCGAGGTTAGAAACGGTACCTTCTCTTTCCCTTTAGGATGCACTATTACGCTCATTGAACAAGGCATTGCAGTAGGCAGTTTGACCGGGTGTTTCTCACTTGCACACAATCCTTAGGCACTCTTCCAACTCACTGCTACTATCTCCTCTCTCCTGTTTTGGATTTTCTCTTTGCATGTTTTATGAGAATGCATTAGAACACTTTTTCTTCGGAGAACTGAGGCTTCCAGGGGACTGCCTTTCTACCAGTGTGTGTCCCTTCTCCCTGAGGGAGAGAGAAACGGCAGGATGCATCCCTAGCAGGAGGCCCGTGTTTTTTCCCAAGGGTGAAGCCATGTCCCCGAGGGAGCACCAGGAGGGATGTGAACATGCTCCTACCACAGGGCCCTCCTTTTCTTCTGTGGTGCCTTAAGAAAGTGAATCTAAAAAGTACCAGACAGTCAAATCTGTTGGGAGTGACTGGAGATTTTTCAGGAGTTGCCAACAAGTACCTTGGAGCTTTCTGTTATTTTGGGAAAGTTCAAATATACAGGGATAAGGAGGTTGCTGACTGTACGGAAAAGCTCTAGGCAGGTTTTCTTTAAAAAACAAAAACAAAAACAAAAACAACACATATTTAGGGACTGGTCTCGAGGAAAGGAAAAAAAATGTTCCCTAGAGTTTAGAGTTTTTTAAAAGGGTTTACACGTGCGCGCGCAAACACAGACACAGACACAGACACAGACACACACACACACACACACACACACGCACACACGTGATCACTACAAAGTACATGATCATTAAACAGAAAAGTGACACATCTCAGAGGACAACTTCATCATTCAGAGGAGGTCATTGATCGAATCGGTTTTTCTACATCTCAGAGCTAGTGTAGATTCTGAGGGACTCTTATTTACCAAACACACAAAACAAATATAAAACCATTTTAAAGGTAGCAGAAAAAGAAGGTAGTTTTGAATATGGTTCCCTCGGTGTTTGTGAGTTTGGCGTAACTTTGGGGCTAAGGTGGTATCTATTTGAAGTTAATATCATAGATGTACTACAACATCAATTTTTAATACTTCCTGGTGGGGAGTACACTTTGGATCTACGGTTTTTGTCTCTTCATTGTTGACATTTATTTAAGCCTTATAAACATTAACTTTTTGCAAAGGAGTGACTTGTGTCTGCAGTGTTTGTGTTAGGAATCTAGCTTGTATAATGTTAACTTTTCAACCCAGGTACTCTTGCTTTGGGATTTTTTTTAATTTTAAGATTTCAAAATCTTCAATGGTGGAATGTAGTGTGTTCGAGGTGTGTGCACAAAAATATTTTGCATGTTTGGGGTTGTTTTTTTTTTTTGGCCGGTGTGAATTCTACTTTTTAGCACAATAAAATCCCAAAAAAGAATGTATAAGTACAGATTTTTCTGTGTAAAGTTTTTTCACATGACACCAAAAGTAGATTATTTCTATATGGCCAGAAAAAAATTTTTGAGACCAAACAAAATGCCCTGTGGAGAAGAAACACAAACAACTCACTTGCTCTGTTGGCTGTGTAGCCCAATAGTAGTTTTATGGCCTTGCCTTAAACAGACAAGGATATGTGAATAATGCAAATGTTTTGCATACAAAGGGAATTTATCAGGTAAAAAAACACAGTGAGGACCAGGCTTTGCCTTTTCTTTCTGGAAAGGTTTATTTATTTAGCTACTAGGTGATCAAATATTTCATATTTATTTATTTTTATTCTGTTCTAAATAGCTTCATTTCTAGAAACATTGCTATATTTTCTCCATATTTTTTGTTTGGAAATAAGCTCAGAGACAAATCCTCTCATGGCATTTTTTTTCTATTTTAATAACGAAGACCTTTCTGAGGATACTACACTTAACAAAACCAATTCACTTTGGTAAGGTATTGTTTGCAGGCATTACTTAAAAAGAAAGAAAATTTTCATAATTTCTTTGATTTTCTTTAGCACCTCAATCAGATTTTAAAAGAGCTGTGTAATTGCAAGTAGAAATAAAATATTATTATAGTACTTTTTAAAGCTATAGTACTTTATTTATTTATTTACTTATTATTTAAAGTAGCCTCCATGCTCAATATGGGGCTTAAACTCATGACCCTGGGATCAAGAGTAGGATGTTTAGCAATTTAGATGGAGGGGAAAAAAAAAAAAAGGCTCACAGAGTCATAGAATGTAAAGTTGGAAGGAACCTAAGAAATCCCGTGGGCATTTTTCAGATGTGGGAACCAAGAAAGGGGCAATGGTTTCCCAGAACACGGTCAGCTGGAGAGACAGCCCGGGGCCATGGAATGAACATGGACTTTGACAAAGTGAGACCAAGGCTTAGATCAAGGCTGACCTAATACCTCCAGAGTGGCATTGGGAGAGTGTCTCTCAGCCTCCCTGTCCACCTGAAAATGAAGGTAATGACACGTGCCTCCCAGGTGTTTTGAGAGCCAAATGCAATAACTTTTGGAAGAATTCCAACACAAATGTTAGTTACCATCATCACCAGTAGAGTGGGGTCAGAACCCAAGGCCCTCACTCTTCCTTCATTGTCTTAACTCCTTCAATGTGTCCATTCAGGAAGAAATGCTTCGGGAAAACAGCAGCAAGAATAAATATTACACAAATAGCCCAGAAATATAAACCACATGGATCAGAATGTATAATTACCTTGTACTAAAATGTCTGCCCTTTACACAGAGGACTTTCTGGACAGAACAAGAATTGTTTTTATTCATTTGCTCATTCATTCATTCTTTCCACAAATATTTATTGAGCACCTGCTGCTATATGCCAGGCACTGCTATGGACATTGAGAACACAATAGAGAATAAAACAGACAAAACCCACTATTGTCATGGAAGTTGGATTCTAGTGGTTTGAAATCAGCAAAATAAGATAACTAAATTATGTTGGATTAGTTCTGAGGGGAAATATTTGACTATTTAAAGCTGCTCTACAGGGTAACCACTGGCATTCATCTGGACTTAGGCTCATTCGTGATAAAGACATGGCATGAAGAATTGGTTCTGGATCAAATCTTAGGAAGTAACTACATATGCTATTCACCCTAGAGAGTCACAGTACACATGTGAGCTGTGAAAGTACTCAGGCTCTCAATAAAGAAACACGCTTAATTTTATTTAAACACAGAATATGGAACTCCAATTTGGGAAACACTGCCTAACGTTTTGGCTTAGGCTTTCCTGATTCAAGCTTTCCCAGGCCAATCCTGATGTCAAGTAATGTTTCTCAATGTTCTACTCACACAAGTGAGTTGAAACCATTTCAACAACTTGGGCCACGTACTTTTTTTTTTTTTTTAAATATGTTCATTTTCTCAAGTTTTAGGTTCACAGCAAAATTAAGCAGAAGGGACACCAATTTCCCATATATTCCTTGCTCCAGCTCATATATAGCCTTCCCCATACCAACGTCCTCCGGCAGAGTGGTACATTTATTACAATCGCCGAACCTATACTGATGCATCATTATCACCCAGAGTCCACAGTTTACATCAGGGTTCACTCTTAGTGGGTTTGATACATTCACATTCTATGGGTTTGAACAAATGTATTAGGACATTCCAATATCATACGGAGTTCCAGTAAGAATCCTCAGTACTCCACCTATTCATCCCTCCTTCCCCCTTGGCCCCTTGACAACCACTGATCTTTTCACTGTTTCCATAGTTTTGTCTTTTCCAGAATGTCATATAGTTGGAATCATATGGCAGGTAGCCTTTTCAGATTGGCTTCTTTCACTTAGCAACATGCATTTAAGTTCCCTCCATGTCTTCTCATGGCTTGACAGCTCATTCCTTTTTAGTGCTGAATGATATTCCATCAGTGTATCATTTCATTCCACAACATTCAGAGAGTGGCTAGGCTCTGTTGTAGGGACAGGGGATGACAATTCAGACAAGGTCCCTGCTCTCACAGAGCTTACACTTTAAGGGAAGAGATAGGCAATAAGCAAGTAATACATAATCACTATAATTTGAGACAGTGAGTCCTATGGCGGAATAAAATGGCACGTTGTGTCGGGGGTGGAGTAAGCTACTTTGGGTTGGGTCGTCAGAGAAGACCTTACTGAGGAGGAAACATTTGGGCTGAGGTCTGAATGATGAGAAGAAATCAAGCATACCAAAGTATGAGGTGGAGTGTTCCGGACAGAGGGGAAAATAAACGTGGAGGCCTTAAGGGACCAATCTTGGCACATGAGGCACAGGGCTCGAGAGCACAAGTGAAGAAAGAGTAGTAGGAAAGGGGTCAAGGAGCACTGACGACCTTGTAGGCCTCATTAAGACATGCCAGATAACGCCTTCAAATGCCTGCCAGGTGAAAGGAGATAAAATAAATATTTGATTCCAGGAACTTCACTTTTGATAGAAGACTACATTTTACTTTTCCTATAATACTTTTCACTTGAAAAAAAAATTCAAAGCTGTTCGTCAAGTGGTCCTGGATGAATATGGCAAAATTGGTTCTATGCAGTTGTGTGAAGTCTGGAAGACAGTCCCATGTAGATACGGCACGGCATTGTTTTCTGCAATCTGGGGAACAGACCCATGCTTGTATACACGCCCACACAAATTGCACACACACATTATGTTTTACTTAACTGGAATCATATTACACATACTGTTCTGAGATTTGCTTTCTTTTAAAAACAATTTATGTTTTAAGTATGGATTTCACTGATCATTAAAAAAATTTTTTTAATGTTTATTTTTGAGAGAGAGAGAGAGAGAGGAAGGGGCAGAGAGAGGGGGAGACACAGAATCTAAAGCAGGCTCCAGGCTCTGAGCTGTCAGCACAGAGCCCGATGTGGGGCTCGAACCCACAAACCATGATGAAATCATGATCTGAGGTGAAGTCAGGCACTTAACCAACTGAGCCACCCAGGCACCCCTCAATGTTTGATCCTATTTAAACCTCTATAGGGATGCCTGGCTAGCTCAGTCAGAAGAGCCTGTGGCTCTTGATCTCATGGTTGTGAGTCTGAGCCCCAAAATGGGTATAGAAGCTATTTTAAGAAATAAATAAACTTTCGGGGCGCCTGGGTGGCGCAGTCGGTTAAGCGTCCGACTTCAGCCAGGTCACGATCTCGCGGTCCGGGAGTTCGAGCCCCGCGTCAGGCTCTGGGCTGATGGTTCGGAGCCTGGAGCCTGTTTCCGATTCTGTGTCTCCCTCTCTCTCTGCCCCTCCCCCATTCATGCTCTGTCTCTCTCTGTCCCAAAAATAAATAAATGTTGAAAAAAAAATTAAAAAAAAAATAAATAAACTTTAAAAAATAAAATAAACCTCTATAAAGTACATATTAAGTGTTATCTGAATAATAGTGATCTCAAGTGAATCTATTTATGGAGCGTGTGGAGTAAGTACTGCCATTAAATTTGTCAAGGTGATCAACTACTTTTCTGAACCAGTAGACATCTACATCTTCCGTGTACTGCTCTCCTCTGATCCTCCGGTTGACATATTCAGATTTTTGTTTTGTTTTATTTAATTTTATTTATTTATTTTAAGAGAGAGAGTGTGTGAGAGAGGGAGTGGCGGAGGGGCAGAGAGAGAGAGGGAGAGAGCTCATGACCTGAGCTGAAGTCAAGAGTTGGAAGCTTAACCAACGGAGCCACCCAAGTGTCCCCAGAGTGCTTATTTTTGTAAACATAGATTCGAGACCAATCCCATAGCCCTGCTGCCCTGCACCTCTTCTATGTAGGAATTCTGGACCTGCCACTGGCTGAATTTACCACCCTATCATCCAACCTGCTTCTTCTCTTGTATTCTTTCTTTCAGCGAGTGGCAGGTATCAGCCAGTCATCGAAAGTAGAAATCTGGGAGTCACCCTGTGTCAGTCTTCTCTTGCGACTTCTTCTTCTGACAACCAATAATTACCACAGGCTTCCAAATTATTTTCTGATCTGTCTTGGATCTATTCCCTCCTCTCCATCCTCAGGACCCTTCCTACCTCCAAACGTCTCTCTTCCAGCTTCCTGACCTTGTCTCCATTTTGTCCCCCATCTACCACTAACCCATCCCTCACACCACAGGTAGAGAGATCTCTTCAAAAATAAATTTGGCCACGGAATGGTCCTGTTTAACACTCATAAATGGCTTCCCATTATCCCTCAATAGAGCCCAAACTAATCTGCATACAAGACCCTACGCCCAGCCCTGTTGATTTTTCTAGCTTCTTAACCTGTCATGGATTTACCTTCTCATCCTGGCCTCTCTGTGGGCCAGCATGCCCTCCTTGGTGTTTCCACAACACTCTTGCATTTTCCCATTACTCAATAACTGACCATTTATGTATATCTTTCTCACCTGTTTACACAAGCAATGGCTATAAGCAATGACTCTCTGGAGCACGTTTTTAGCCAAACTGAAAACTCTGAATGC